TTATCCTGTCACCAGTGAGAAGAGACCAACTCCACTCTCACTGCAATCACCTTTTAGATTTGGAAGAGAGCAGTAAGGTAAGCTTTCTTTTCCCCAGACTGAACAGCCCCAGTTCCTCCAGTCTCTCCTCATAAGAGATATTCTCCAAGCCCTTGCCAGCCTTGCTGCCTTTCTTTGGCCCTGCTCCAGCACCTCAATGTCCTTTCTATACTGAGGTGCCCAAAACTGAACACAGTTTTCAAGGTGAGACCTCACCAGTGCCAAGTACAGGGGCAGGATGACCTCCCTAGTCCTGCTCACCACACCATTCCTGATCCAAGCCAGGATGCCATCGGCCTTCTTGGCCACCTGGGCACGCTGCTGGCTCATACTCAGCCGACTGTCCATCAGAACACCGAGGCCCCTTTCCACCAGGCAGCTCTCCAACTTCTCCTCCCCAAGCCCGTAGGGTTGCCTGGGGTTGTTTCGCCCATCCCCACAGCGCACAGCCCAGCTCAGCCCGTCCTCGCAGGCAGCTCCGCGCTCCTCCCGCCCATGCGGACGCACCGCTCCAGGTGAGCCGTCCCAGCACGGAGCAGAGGGGCAGAAGCACCTGCCGGTCTGGCTCACGGCTCACAGCACATAGCTCACGGCTCACGGCTCCCATCCCCCGGCCCCGCCTCACGCTGCACGCTGCAGATGAGCTCTCGGTACTGGTTGCGGATCATCCTCCTGCTGCGCTCATCGCCGCCGCCTTCGGAGCTCCCCGGCTCCTCTCCGTCCTCCTCGTCTCCTCTCTCGGAGGCGGGCGGGCGGCCGAGGTTTCCCGAGAGCCGCCGCCGCCTGCGCTGCGAGTCGGAGCCGTTGCGAGAGGCGGACGGCAGCGAGAGGCGGCTGCGGGCAGAGCCGGAACTCCGCGGGGAGAAGGAATCGCTGCTTCCATCCGACTCGGCCATCGCAGCCGGCTTCCGGGCCCACGCGGCCGCCGTAGGAGAAGCGGGCGGGGCGGGGCTGAGCCGCTCTCTCCCGGCGCAGCGGCGGGGCGGCGCCCGCCCTGAGTTCAGGCGGCCCGGGGGCGGCGCGGCGCGGTGCGGGACCGGGAGCTGCGGGGCCGAGACTGGGGGTGCGGCTGCGCTGCCGTCCGACGCGCTTCTGTCCCTCGGCGGGACGGAGCTCGCGGCCGGCCTGAGCCCGTTCGCTGGTCAAACCGCCGCAGCGCGCGTCACCATCCGCCACAACGGGGAACCGGGAGAGGGCGCAGCTGCGCCGCAGTCCGAGAGCCCGCGCACCGCCTGCCTTAATGGGCTGCTCGCCTCTTCACCTCTTCTGTTAATAAGGCTGCTCGCCTCTTCACCTCTTCTGTTAATAAGGCTGCTCGCCTCCTGCCTTAATGGGCTGCTCGCCTCTCGCTGTCGCGATGCCGATCCGAAGCTCTGTGGGGCGACCGCTTTGCTCAGGACTGAGAGCTGTGAAGGGAGACGCGGTGCGCGGCTCAGTGCCGGGGGCCAGGCTGAGTGCATTGCGGAGGAAATGCGTGTATCCAGCCTCAGACAAACATCAGCCTTGGGCTTCAGATGATGCTCGCTTGGGATCCACGGCTGACCTTTCTCGCTGCTCAGACAAGCAGAGCCTTTTATTCATCGGGTGCACAGATTGCTCTCTGTCTCAGACATGCGATAAAATGGCAAAGCGTTCTAAAAGAGGCAACGCATTAAAAATTCAGCACTAAAAAGCACAATAAGAGCCTAGCGAGCATTGTGCAGCTTAACAACTTGCTTCTAACAAGAATACTGTGCTGTATAAAAGACTTTCAGCACCTGGAGGAACCAAATGTGTGAGCACTGAGCATAAAGGTACAGCATTTCCAAAGGACAGGGTTTCAGGGGTGGAAGTGTCAGGCAGCACGAGCTCAGTGTGTTTTCTCATGACTGGAGAGTGTCACAGAGCCACTGTGCCAGCATTGCTGATCTGGCAAGTGGAACTCAGCTACAGTCTCCAATTGAATTCCCGTTCTGAGCAGCACGTGTTTTGTATAACTCACGACACACAGAAGCTCAGACAGATGCTGCGTTTCAGGAAGCAGCTCAAAGCAGTCCCTACTGACATCAAATAAAGAGAGATGATGCTATTTCTTATGGTGCTGAGAACTTAATTACCAGCGGTGTTAACTGTGTGTCTTGGGGTAGGTCAAGGTCTGCAATCTGTTTGCTTTCATGGAAAAAGACACATTTTACACTGAGACAGGAATCACTGCTTAGCGATGTTGCATATGGTTGTAAAGCATCAACTTTCTTGCATTTCCCTTAAACACTCCAAAATAAGTGCTGCTGTTCAGGATGAAGAGATAAAGCAAGGGATTCGTTATTATCTAACAAAATTGCAACATAAGACCAGTTGCACAGCGATAATTATTCCTGAAATAAAGATAATAAACATAACTGGTGCTAGACTAATTGAAAACACGAGAAATGCAATGTCTGAGATACTTGCCATTCAGCTGCCAGCTCTGCAAGCAAATACAGGTGAGGAGCCTTTCATTAAATGAGCATGGCAAACTTAAAAAATAATAATAAAAAGAATTTTATTAATGTAGAAATGCACGTTTATACATTATGCATTTATACACGAGGTTCTTGCAGGAGCTTTTCTTTCCATGTTTACAGATAATCCTATGGGAGGTAGAAATCAGGCACCAGATATCCTTCCAGCACAGTGGGTTAGGTTACAGCCCATCAAATCACAGCATACGTGGTGCCAGTGCAAGAAGGTATTTTCAGAGGAACAATTATTAATAGAACTCTGCAAAACACGTGGGACCCAATCTGCTGTGATGTCAGGGGGAGAAAGCAGACAGGATGAAACCTTTTTTGGCATCAGGAACTCTTCATTGATGTGGAATGTTTCATTAAGTGAAAGACTGACACAGTGTTGCTCCATTAACATGTGAGAATCCTGCTTGGCACAGACTAAAATACCCAATGCCTTCCACTTTCTCATTATGCTCAAAGAGCAATTTATTTAAAAAGAAAAAAAAAATACAAAACAGAACTTTGAAAGCAGGATCAAGAAATATATACATACATCTATGATGCATCAGAGTGGAGAATAGCCAGACTGCTGCTGCCTTGGTGGTCTGGCCAGTGCGTTTCTAATGGAGAAACGAAGGAATTAAAATCAAATGCAGAACATATTTTTGCAACAACAACGATGAAAAGGCAGTTAGTGCTCTGTGGAGCTGTGACCACAATATTGTGCATAACTGTATGCAGTTATTTGGACAATGAACTTCTGATATGGCAGTAATTTCTCTCTCCTTCAGAAAATCCATAGGAATTCCCTTCTCCTTATGGCAGTCTCTGGCAGTTATCACCTTTCAGACGTTGCCAACACTATGCAAACAGTGATGTTAAACCTAAGTGCTTCTGTGATTGGCTTTATGCTAACAATTCAGTCATTTCTTCACACGTTGCAATGAATTCATTATGTTTTTATTACATGTGGTTAAAGGCATGTAACTTAATCTATGAAAAAAGAAACAACTTTTTCCTGTCTGAAATGATATATTCCAAGGGAGGATCTTTCAAAGGAATGATGGAACAGAAGATGTGTTCTACTTAAAGTCATTTTGGTGTTTGGTGTGGGTTTCCTTTCTTTTCTCTCCCACCCTTGGTGTGGGATTTTATAGTTAAGTCATCTGTACTGCAGTGGCATGTATTTTTCCTAAAAGAATCACAAAGGTAGTGTTCCAATTGTGTGTAAAATAGGTCAGGCTTGCTCCCATTGGAGCAAAAGAAAACCCAGTTGTGCGTCTGTCTTCAACTACTGCATTCAGGCAAGTGGGCTGAGAGATCCATCTTATCCACAGTGAGAAGAGACAGGCTGCTTTCCCTCTTTGCCAAGTGTGTGGATGAGAGAAGACTAAACACTGGCAAAGAGGTTTAGAATGGAATGGTGGCAGGAGACTTTTCTTCTGCCAGGTACTCTCATAGCAATCCCAGACCTCGAATGTTTGTTCTGAACTCCAGCAAAGCATTCCTCAGGAAATATGCAGAGCAGTGCTGGCTTGCAGTGTTTTTCTTGATGCAGCTATCACTTCTAGCCACTGCTGTGGCTGTGTGTGTTTTAGTGGTGAATAGTTTTCCCAACTTACTGAGTTAGTCGGGTGGAGAGGCAGCCTGACACCTGGTACTTACAGTCCTGCAGTAACTGCCAGAGGGGAAAATTCCAGTTACAGTGGTGTATCACCGAACTTAGGCAAAAGGTTTACTAACATCAACAATGACAGCAGACTGCACGCCGTGTACCGGACCTATCTTGTGTTATTCTCAACCAGCAACTGAGAATTCCTGTAAAGAACTGATGTGTCACAGCCCTGCAGATCCCTGGGTCAGATTCCTCACACTTCATAGCTCTCCAGCATAGTGTTCTCAAACATAAGCCAATTCACATTAATAGAACACTTTCATGTGATCCAGGGAGAAAGGGGATCCATACACCAGCTAGGAGAGGAGGAGTGCAGAAGGTTAGAAAAATCAGTGGTAAATTGAATGGTGTGTTTTCATTTTTAGTCTAGAGGAAAACTGGTAAGTAATATTTTATTAGTTCTTTAAAGTTAAAAATGTCTAGACTCAAAGCAGTTTGCTAATTATGCTTTAGACATTACTAAAAGGTGAAAGGAGTGTCTTAAAAGTAAAAGAAACTTTTCTGCTTACCAGAAAAAACACAGTGGTTCCTTTGAGGTTCTATAGTTTCATGATCTCTCGTATAACTTGTTTTACAATCCACATAACCTATAATGTAGACGACAGGATGATGACTATTTAATAGTATCTTTCTAAGACCAACAGACTGATATTAGCATGCATGTCCTAAAACAGCTATTTGAAAAACACTCTGCAACATTACAGACTGTAATAGCTATTTGCAAATGCTGGAGTTTTTTAATATGGCACTCTTCCATGGTTCTTTTTTTTTTTTTTTCAGAAATAGTTCTAAGGATTTGTTTCAGAAAGGATTGCTTGTTGATTTTACGTTGCCATGTAACGACAAGAATGTGTTTCATACGCAGAATTTCAGAGATAAAATTAGCTGGCTATTCTCTAGAAAGACTATGCAGATGTTTAACCATGTCCTTAAGCGAGAGCTGACCATCATCCACACCTATAGGTGGAAAGTTACCTCTGGTGACCCAAACCTCTTTCTTATAGATCTTCAGGTATCTAAAGACACTTCTAGCCTCTCCTGCTAAGAGAACTAAGATTAAAATAGTACTTCATTAGTTTGAGACTAACAAGGATTTTATCACTGTGTTATTATATTGAAATATGTTGCTAACACGTAAGGCAAGAGCGACTTCAATTATTTCAGCATTTTTCTAATAAACAGGGTTTATATTGCCATTATGTGTTGGTAGAAGGGCTGGTAGTTGGCCAGAGGAGTCAGATGGGCCCATGGACAGAAAAACTAAGCCTCGTTGTCTTAGTTTCCCTTACCTTGTCCTCCACATCTGAATCTGCATCTACATCTACGTGCATTTTTCTATCTTTGAAACAGAGATCTGTGACAATGACGGGTTTGGGTGCTCAGCTCTAGGGACCAGTAATTAGTTTGCACGTGCTCCCAAATCAGCTAGTTAGCATTTTTCATCAAGCAAACGTTTTGACAGTCCCAAAGCAGGCTGTGACAAGAAATCTAAGTCAACCTCATTCAGGAAAAAGGTCTTAGCTGGTCTATGTTATCTGATAGCTTGGTCATTTATCAGTAAAGCGAGTTGTCAGTGACTGGCTGAGCTTGAATTGTCACCTAGGCACTGGTTTGTGGGACAGGTGAAAGGGACACCTGTCCAAAGGCAGCTTGTCAGCCTACAAAAAGAAAAGAAAAAAAAAAGTGACACAAATGTCTCCAGGTCCAGCAGTGTACTCCACACTTACAGAATGTGCCTGCAGACCATTTCTCCCTTATAAAAAATCAGCTTAAATTGTACATTGATGGTTAGTTTGTGTTGCATGATGTAGAGTGAGTGGAACAGGAATAGAAAGAGAAGCAATCGTTTGGAGATGTTACAGATGATGGGGATGGCAGAGGGAGCAAGAGACATCTCTGTGGAAGTTCAGAACATAGAACAACCTCCAGATTGAGGTGGGCTCCCTACATTCATTTCCAGCTTCCATTCATCTGGAGGGTAGGAAGGAGGATGGTATTTGTGAAGAATATCAAGGATATTCCTCTTGTCAGTTGAGGCTTTCTTTAAAATCCTCTTACACCTCTCACCTTTTGTGGCAGTATTAGAGAATGACTGCCCTGTAGTTCTGGGAAGCTTTTAATCAGTGTTGTGCTGCATCTTCCCATGAGGAAGGTGAAAGCAAGGTTTCCTACTGACAGCTGACCATTCTCAGGAGAGATGGGGAGGTGGAGTCACCTCAGAAAACTGTCAGATCAGCTTTTGTGTTTTGTGATGTCAGTGGAATAAACATATAGAAGCCCCTCGATTCCAGAACTGAAGAGAGTGAACTTTTGTCCCGTGCCTCTGATCTAACCTTAAACCCAACTAAAGAGCTTAAATTCAATTGATTCTACATTCAACCGCCGCAATTAATGACTGAAGAGTTGCACTGCTGACAGCCAGCATCAGAGTAGAGACTTCACAGACTGTAGTTTTTCTTGACACAGTCCTTTTTAAGGACTTTTTAAGGACTTTAAAAAGGGCTTCTAAAGATCACACGGTGAAACGAAGTTTGAGTTAATTTGTGTTGTTTTCCATTAGACGCTCTTGTACATGGGTTGCTGTGAAAATACATCAGCCATCAAGACAGATACAGAATTTACAAGGCTCAGCAAGTCTGACACAATACTGCACTATACATTCTTGCCAAAATAAATTTGTCATAAAATGCTAGTTAGGACTTGACAGACTCATTTAGTTCTCTGGTTTCACAGTAAGCATATGATCCAGCTAGCACCCCTGGTGCTTGGGCAAACCAAGGCTCAGCCAGCTCTGAGTCCTTGCAAATGGATCAGGCTGTGTTTGTTTGCTTCGTATTCAGAGCAGTGGTGTGCTGTGGGGAACTGTACAGGACTCCTAGCAATAAAGGCTGTCTGCATGAGTGAAAGGTAAGAATGATTTAATTTATCTAAATGAAATCTGCTTTTCTGAATGTAAGTAATCAGAAAAGATTCTCTTGATTCATGCAGGCTGGGTGTGTAGCATAAAAACTTTTTCTAGCTATCCAACCACAATGAGATAGGTGTCATGCTAATATTTCTGTTGGCTGTGAGCAGTTGTTGTATTTGCAACAGAAGTGTTTTAGAAGGAAACAAAACCAGTATAAATGTGATTAAGAAGGCAAGATAATCTCTTTAGTGATAACGAAGGAAAACAGGAATCTTTAGGAAGGAGGCAATGCAATAGCAGCGTGTGCAGAATAGATCTGACTGAAGTGATCAAATTAGACCAAGTGGCAAGGATTTGCTGAGCAGATCTTCAGGAAAGATAGCTTAAGGACATTTTCTTCC